AGCTAGCTTCCAACATGTCAATCAAAGGTTAAAAGCATGGTAAAACAAAGGGAAAATCAAGGAGATAGGAACACCAAGAAAGGACCATATGAATTTCAGACATCTCTGCATTGATTTTTTGTCTTCAAACAATAGTTGCAGAATTACATTGAGGCTAGAAAAGACAACTGCAGTTATAAAAACATAGCTACAATAGCAAGAGAAGTGATTTAGCAAGGGAATGGCTTTATCGAACTAGACAGCAATAGCAGGTCAGTAAGCATTGGAAGATGAGGTCTGAGATTCTCCAATACAGGATATGTTAAAACATGAAGTATTTCCCTCCATCCCTTCCTAAAACCACACAAGTAACCATGACTACCTCTCTTAGGTTTCATCAAGTCTTTTAAAGGTTCACTAGAGACTTCAAAATGGTGAAAAAGCGATCTCCCCCTGAGAAGAATTATTTTCTTTCCAGCACTTAAAAGGCAAAGCACAGATATCAAAACACATTCAGCTCCACTGAAGTATTTGTCTCCACATTTTCTACTGTTCACTGCTCTTCGTCAATTCTTTTTCTAAAACAGTTATCCATACCCTATGGGTTTCTCCTAACAGGGACCATCTTCTTGGTTTTTCACCCTGAAGTAGTATCTTCCATATTTAACTCTGTTGTTCAGAACATTATACCCAAGAAACTATGTGGAAATAAAACCAAATTGGGTTTGGTTTTATTGCCAGCAGGGACTCACCTGGTTACAGTTGACACTGTAGGCTCTTTCTGAGTTTTTAGCTCTCATCATTCTTTCTTTTCCTTCTGCCTTGTCCTGTGCCTTTTCCAGCTTTCTGACTCCAGCTATCCAGAGTGGGGCAAACCAGTAAAAAACCTCCAAGACATTCCAAAAATCTTCACAAGAGCCTCTGACTAGCAGTTGCATCCTCCAAGATAACTTCTGTCCTGGCTCCTGTTTTTCTGGCTATTAGTCTCAGGTGCTACTCCAATCCACTCAGCTTATTTAATAAAGTGCAGCTGGGATACTCTTGTGCCATCACACGAAAGTACACTTTTTCTTTACAGCTAATGCCTCCTCACCACAAACAAAAAGCTGGATAACAGATAAAGAAAAAAATATGTATACTGCACTTCAACAGGATCAACAGCATAGAAAAATTCGTAACAAAAGGAACTTACAAAAAACAGGGACTCTGCAGAAGTACTACCACTAAAAGTTTCTGAGACACTGCAGAACCATTATTTTCTGATTTTAATCCCTGTTTAGGAAAAACAGACAAGAATTACAGCCCAAAGCATACAAGACACTAACATTCAAAACCTGTCACAACAAAAAACTGTCTTTTCTTAATCTAAAGGGATTTCAAAGTTTACCAAAACTTGCACAGGATCATCCAAATATGAAAACATCCAAATAGAAACACTAAGACATGCATGACTGATGAAAGGGATTTCAAAGTTTACCAAAACTTGCAAAGGATCATCCAAATATGAAAACATCTAAATAGAAACACTGTTAAGACATGCATGACTGATGGTTACAGCACTGGTTAAAAAAAAAGTCACTACTGCAATGCTGTATTCCAACAAAAGGAAGCAAACTGGTTGGGAACAGCTGGGAGTTAATGTAGCAGGGGCTGAAGATGGAAAAAACAGATGTGACTGAACAACAAAGAGCATTCTTTTTCTTTTTGGTTATTTTTAAATTTTACTTAGGACTTACACTAATGCTATAACTGCTTCTTTATGAAAAATACATGTTAAATTAAACTAAAAAAATTAATCTGTTCTTGGAACTTATAAATACAAAATAAGGTCACTAACCAAGTTCTAAACATGGGACTTGAACACTGTGGATTTTTTTTTCCCTTAGCAGGGGAAGAAGGTTTAGCTTTAAAAACATATTGAACCAAGCAATGGAATTGACATTTAAAAAAAAAGATAGGATCGACTCATTCTCCAAAAAGAGCCATTACTCATTACAGTGACGTACACAGGCACATATCTGGCTGAACACACATTCATCTCTGTTGCTCAGGTTTCCCTCGTGCTCCTGCGAGTGCTGCACAGTCCATTATAACCCAGCACAGGTGCTCAATCTCCAGTCAACCCCCAGCCTCTCCAACTCCATCATCTCAGCACCTGACAGACACTTTGCAGCTGCAAAGGGACACTTCTTTCCTCACCTCTCCCCAGAGCAAAGGAGCATGGAGGCTCTTCACCACAACCATGGCAAGGAGCAGCGAGAGCCCACTGCCGGGGCAGCCTCAGCAAAATGGCTGGAAGGCGGCAACACTTTCCACCAGGTAAAACCAACACAAGGCAAACAGCCAAGAGACTACACGAGGGGTGATGCACAGACGTGGCATCCAAATACTTTCCTAATGGAATACAGGCATTCAAACAACTCCCTCCTGATGAAAAATACCATAAGGCAGGGAGGTATTTGAGGGAGATGTTGAAACTTTTAATGAAAGGAGACCAGACTCACTTCTCTGTTTTACAAGTAGAGAGAAAGCAGCAGACAGATGAGGCCAGATCGCATTTGGGTTCCTATTGCACCATGATCCTCCCGGAAACTATGCTAAGGCACATGGAAAATAAGGAGGTGATTGGTGACAGCCAATGTGGCTTCACGAAGGGTGGTGGTGCGGTCAACACGCTGGCAGGAAGGGATGCCATCCAGAGGGACCCTGACAGGCCTGAGAGGTGGGCCCTTGCCAACCTCATGAAGTCCAACAAGGCCAAGTACAAGGTCCTGCACGTGGCTCGGGGCAATCCCAAGCACAAATACAGGCTGGGAGGAGAAGGGCTTGAGTGCAGCCCTGAGGAGAAGGACTTGGGGATGCTGGTTGGTGAGAAGCTGAACATGAGCCGGCAGTGTGCGCTTGCAGCCCAGACACCAACCGTGTCCTGGGCTGCATCAAAAGAAGCGTGACCGGCAGGGGCAGG